GTCCTTCCAACTGTCGCTAGGAAATGATGCCTCACCTGCGGAGATGGCTCCTTAAAAATACAGGCTGACAACAATCTTATCTAAGCGAAAGTTAGTAACCTGCTGCTATCGTGTGATCGCAGAGGCTGCAAGTCAACCCCGGCTTCCCCAGTTTTTGCGCCCCTGAAATTTAACCAGCTTGCATGTGATGTGTTATAGACACAATTAATCAAGTAACAGAAAGTTTATTGATCGGCACTCATAGAAAGAAGAAGAAAGATAGAAGAACACACTAGACAACATAAAAATCGAAAACTATATGTCTCTCTGCAGAGGTAACCAGTCCTGGTTTTTCACATCCCTCTTATTCCCGAAGAGGTGAAGAAAGAACTCTTCAGTACGGTCCCTGGGTAGATGGTTTCAACAAATGCAAGTCATTTAAAAAGATACAGCTACCTTGACTCCATTGCATTGTTGAATTTTTCAGTTCTAATAACAGTTGTTTTTACCATTATTACAATACCTTCAAACCCAAAGTATGCGTATAATCTGCAAATTTAAGTAGCATATGCCTCCCACAACCCCTTTTTTTCACTGGTTTCAGCGCCTATGATGAGTTTATTAATTCGCTCAACATACTCAACATTATTTCATAAAGGAACATTTACAGTCTGGTGAAGTTCAACACTTTTTAATGGCGATTGTTTCTTCTCATTTTCTTTGCTTGTGGGCAATGCACATGATGATGATGATGATGATGATGGTGATGATGATGATGATGATGATGATGAGAGGTATTGACCCGGAAGTATATCCTAGACAGCAGCAAGCCGGGCACCCGACTCTCAAGTTTTCTTTTAGTTAGACAATCACAGACAACAGTAGAGGCTTGTCTGTTCTCAGCTCTCCGTGGGTTTGTATCTGCATTACTCTGTACAAATGCTTACCGTTCATTACTTAGGGCGCCAGTTAGTTAGTTTACTATGTATCTATATTCTTGTCGAGATGAACGCTGAAAGTTACAAATAAGCAAGAGTCGGAGAGCGGTGAGAAGGAGTTCAGCAAGGGGACACCACGGAAGAACGACGGTATTTTTTCTTTTTAAGTATCCAGAAACAATCGTGAGTTGTAAACTCTTTGGCTCGGTACTATGGATATCACAACCCTTCGGCCTTAATTCCATGATAGATGCCGTAAATCTGGGAAATATGTGGATTTTCTGCCTACCCCCAAGGTGAACTGGGACTAGAACAAGGAGTTTGACAACCGGGCACAACGGCATTAGCCCTCCGTAAAACTTTTGAGTTCAAGAAATCAAGATCAACTGTTACCAGTTGTTAGTTAGAAAGAGCCCATAGAAGATCATTACAACCTCTTCCCCTTTCCCCCAACACTGCGGGAAGGAACCCGGAGAAAGGAAAAAGAAAACACAGTGAATATGTTTGAAAAATATAGCTCCTGGGTACAGGACAACAAAGAATCATTTTATATAATCACTTTCAGTTTTTGTTTTGGCATGAACGTTTAGAGTAGATTTGTGTTCCTCCCACTGTAATAAAAAGTGTCAGTGAACAGTGAAGTCTGGACAACACTTAATCTGTTCAGTTAATTGTGAGGTCTGGACAACACTTAATCAGTCGGTGAACTGTGAAGTCTGGACAGCACTTAATCAGTTCAGTTACCTGTGAAGTCTTGACAGCACTTAATTTGTTCAGTTAACTGTGAAGTCTGGACAGCACTTAATCAGTTCAGTTACCTGTGAAGTCTGGACAACACTTAATCAGTTCAGTTAACTGTGAAGTCTGGACAGCACTTAATCAGTTGAGTTACCTGTGAAGTCTTGACAGCACTTAATTTGTTCAGTTAACTGTGAAGTCTGGACAGCACTTAATCAGTTCAGTTAACTGTGAAGTCTGGACAGCACTTAATCTGTTCAGTTAACTGTGAAGTCTGGACAGCACTTAATCTGTTCAGTTAACTGTGAAGTCTGGACAGCACTTAATCAGTCAGTGAACTGTGAAGTCTGGACAGCACTTAATCAGTTCAGTTACCTGTGAAGTCTGAACAATAATTAATCTGGAAGCCTCATCATCATCATGTAGCAGGTCCTTTGCAGAACGTCGCTCTCATCACAGTCTGCCTGAAAGAAACTTGGTCTCTCGCCAGTTCTCCCACCTCATGCACTTTTACATTCAAGGAGTCACTTATATCCTGTGCCCATCTTCGTGTCGGTCGGCCCCTGCCCCTCCTTCCTGGTACCCTGCCTTCTGCTATAATTTTTTCCAATCCTTCGTGGCGCTTGATATAACCAAAATATTTCAGCTTTCGAGAAAGGATGCTGTTTATTAGCCAATCTTTCTTGATGTTCAGATCTATTAAGATGTCAATATTTCTCATCCTATTTGTCCAATATATTCTGAGAATCTTTCTATAACATTTCAGCTCAAAAGCCCCTATTCTCTTTCTTAACTCTTTGAGTCCCAAGGAATGCATCATACGTTCATAGGTTCCAACCTAGAAGCCCAATGAACGCATGATGCGCCGATTTTATGTCTCTCATTACTACCCCCTGGGCCTGTGATGCTAAACCCCCTGGGACTCAAAGAGTTAAGGACTAGGAAGCCTGATAGTTAGGCATACTTTTATTAAATCTGTTATTCTTGTTTTCAGGAGCAGAATCAGTGTGGAAACATTTTGTTGAAAATTTGTGGAAATGTCTCAAGATCATTGGTATGAATTCAGAAAGGCTAACCAGGTGCACAAATTCCTGCAGAAGCCAGATGTGTCTTCCTAAAGGGGCAGATAGCTCAGCCATGCTATAAAAAAGCACAATGCAATTTTGATGAATGCAGAAGGAGAATTCAGAATTCTTTTTTAATCAGTCATTTATGAACAAATACCTTGGCAACTAATATTTATATCATAAACATCTAATGAAAGAAATAAATGCTTTTGCAATATTCATAAAATAGCTTTAAACATAAGTATTTGAAATGGTTGAGCATTCTTATCTTCTTCTTGTTCACTGTCTGTAAGCCTCGGCAGAGAGTCCTGGTTGTACGTCCACCTCTGGACTTTAGTCTTGTTCCCCAGTCTAAGTGTTCATGCACATCTGTTTTACAGATCTGGCTTATTAATTGGTACTTTGCCTCTCACGGATGGGAAAAAACATTTTTTAAGACCAAACTGTAACCACGTAATATGAAACATGCTGGGAATAGATATTTCTAGAGAACTACATTAAAGTCACAAGACCAGAGTCACGACATATTACAAGATCTAAGGTTTGCAAATGAGGTTTTAATATATCTTAAGACAGAATAATAGTATCATAGATCACTTTAAATATACCTGCAGATAGATTACACACTATGGTTATCATAATTGTTTGAAGAGTATACTTAATGCTGCTACTCCTACTACCTGTTTTATGAATTAAAAAACAGCATTAAAACACTTAAGACATTTTCAAATGCGCTAGATCACCATCTTCAGCAGCAAGCGCAGAACACCTGTCATATATGCAGTAACTATCTGAGACATGTCATCGTTCAGTTTAGCATATCAACAATGTTTGTACGATACGTTTTATGTGTTGTAGAACTGACATCAAATGTACATTTATTTCTCTTTCAGAACTTGTATGTGGATCCTGTCCACACAATACCTGCTAGCAGATACAGAATCAGCTATCAATTCACCATGTACACACCATTCACTGTGTGGTTAATTCTTTGGGGGAGAAATTAAATAATGCCAAAGAAGCGGAAAGGAACAAACAATTACATGTCTGAAATGTTGAAAAGGCAGAGATTTCCATTAAAAACAAGATTGTCACAGAAGGATATGCAGGATGCCAGGGACCTCTTCAGCAAGCGTTTCAGCTACACATCTCTGTCTTCACTGCCAACAGTCGAGGCAGACACTAATGACGCTAGTGGCCTGTCTTCACTGCCTTCGGTCGAGGCGGACACCGGTGACAGTGGTCACTTTTCAACACTGCCAGCAGTCGAGGCGGACACCGGTGACAGTGGTCGCTTGTCAACATTCACTGTAGAAGACTGGATGACAGGTATGAGCTTTATGAATAAGCTAAATTTTTGGATGAAATGGTATTCATTTGTGTTTGTTGGCTTTCTGCTTCTTCTCCTCTCTTCTGTTTATCTGGCTTCGTCTTTTTTTTTTTCTGCTAATGCTTTATTGTCCTCTTCTTTATCTATCCTTTACCTTTTATTCCTGAATAGAGTTGTTGTTGTTATCGATCCAGTGGCGCATGAGCTTTTGCCATTTGACCCAAAGCCATATAATGGAATTTACATGTTTTCACAAGCTATTCTTTTCCTCGGTGTTCCACTTGTCTGGTCTCAGAGGAAGTAGTGTTCTTCTTGTCTCACTGAGTTTTTGGCACCCAAAGAGATGATGATCAACAGTTTTATAGGGGCAGTTACAAAGCTAGCACTCTGGGGAGTGTTGTGGCTGTATTCTGTTTAGATGTCCTTTGAGTGCAACATGTTGTGTTCTGAGTCTGAAGATGGTGGCCTGGTCCCTTTTTGTTAGATGGTTAATGCTGTCATTAGGATCAGGGCCAGCCATATGTCTGTAAACCTCTCTTCTAGTGTCTCCCATGGCCCATCTGTTGGAGAAAGTGGAGAGCCTCAGCCTTGCCACCATATCCTTGCATTTGTCTGTGCAAGCATCCATTTATTAAAGGAAATGTTAACAGAGAAGCAGTCAAGAAAAGAACAGTATTGTAGGTGAGTATACAGCATAAGATGCAGTTTATTGTGATCAAAAGTGGTCCTGAAATCCCATGCTCTGATTGTGGAAGATTGTTCTTAATTCAAGCGGGTCTTGCTAGTCACAACACTCACCAGTGCCTTGGCATAATGTAACACTGTCATCTGGAAAGACACACAAAAAGTCGCCAATGTTTTATTATTAGTTTATTATAACAGTTGTTTAATCTCTTGCCCCCAGATGAGCCTACACTCACAGAACAAATGAGTTCGGATCCCGTACTGATGAGGTTGAAGCAAGAGCTTAATGCCACCAAAGATCAACTCAGTTGTAAAGATATCGACACCTGGCACACTCATACCACAAACTGCAACCTGGCAGCCAAAATCATCCCATTTGTGAAGTCAGTTTTCATTGTTGTCATAACTTACATATTATATTTTTTTAGTGATGGGAAAGATAAGTTTGTTTTTGATTTCGTTGTTGTAAATCGTTGTTGGGACAGAAAATAATTAATACATTTCATGTTCGTTGTTGTAAATCATTGTTTTTAATGTAGTTTTTATGGAAGAATAAAAGCCTATGTTTTTTTTTATTGCTGTGCATCACTGTTGAAGAAGATAACTAATAGATCAGTATTTGTTGTTATAAATCTTTGTTGTGAAGACAGAAAATCAAATTGTTTGCACACTTAGAGAGAATGCCCTGTGATGCCAAGAAATACACCAACAGTAGACAAGTATCTAGAGCATGAGGTAGACCAGGAACAAGATGAAAAGATAGCATGAAAGTCTACAACATTATGATGTGTCTGTGGGTGAGACAACTAGAAGATGGAGAAACAGAACCTGTTATCTCCCTTGAAACCCAAACTGATAAAAGAGAAAGTGAAGAAGAGATCATTGTTATGGAAGAAAAGGTGGCTTATGCAACATAGAGGTATATTAGAGGCACATTGGGCAGGAGTGTGTGTGAGGCATTACTGTGTGTGTGAGGCTGGACTGTGGGTGAGGCATGAGTGTGTATATGAGACAGGAGTGTGTGTGTGTGAGACATGATTGTGTGTAAGTCAGGAGTGTGTGTGTAAGGGAGGAGTGTGTGTGTAAGGCAGGAGTGTGTTTGTTTGTAAGGCAGGAGTGTGTGTTTGTAAGGCAGGAGTGTGTGTGTGTAAGGCAGGAGAGGAGTGTGTGTGTGTAAGGCAGGAGTGTGTGTGTAAGGCAGGTGTGTGTGTGTAAGGCAGGAGTGTGTGTGTAAGGCAGGAGTGTGTGTGTAAGGCAGGAGTGTGTGTGTAAGGCAGGAGTGTGTGTGTAAGGCAGGAATGTGTGTAAGGCAGGAGTGTGTGTGTAAGGCAGGAGAGTTTGTTTGTAAGGCAGGAGTGTGTGTAAGGCAGGAGTGTGTGTGTGTAAGGCAGGAGTGTGTGTGTGTAAGGCAGGAGTGTGTGTGTGTAAGGCAGGAGTGTGTGTGTGTGTGTGTGTAAGGCAGGAGCATGTGTGTGTGTAAGGCAGGAGTGTGTGTGTGTAAGGCAGGAGTGTGTGTGTGTAAGGCAGGAGTGTGTGTGTAAGGCAGGAGTGTGTGTGTGTGTAAGGCAGGAGAGTGTGTGTGTAAGGCAATAGTGTGTGTGTGTAAGGCAGGAGTGTGTGTGTGTAAGGCAGGAGTGTGTGTAAGGCAGGAGTGTGTGTGTGTGTAAGGCAGGAGTGTGTTTGTGTAAAGCAGGAGTGTGTGTGTGTAAGGCAGGAGTGTGTTTGTGTAAGGCAGGAGCGTGTGTGTAAGGCAGGAGCGTGTGTGTAAGGCAGGAGCGTGTGTGTAAGTAAGCATGTGTGCAGGAGGAGCATGTGTGTGTAAGGCAGGAGCGTGTGTGTAAGGCAGGAGCGTGTGTGTAAGGCAGGAGCGTGTGTGTAAGGCAGGAGCGTGTGTGTAAGGCAGGAGCGTGTGTGTAAGGCGGGAGCGTGTGTGTAAGGCGGGAGTGTGTGTAAGGCGGGAGTGTGTGTAAGGCGGGAGTGTGTGTAAGGCAGGAGCGTGTGTGTAAGGCAGGAGCGTGTGTGTGTAAGGCAGGAGCGTGTGTGTAAGGCAGGAGTGTGTGTGTAAGGCAGGAGTGTTCATGTAAGGCTGGATGCCTGCTAAGTGACTGGTGAGTTTTTCAGTGAGACTTGATGCCATTGATGCTCTATAAAGCTTCTGATGTTCAGGCAAAATCAAGGAAGGGAACAGTGGTACCTGACTCTTTTTAAGGCAGGTGTCCTAACATCAGAGCCAGACATTCCTCCTGCATGAAGCCGTGACAGAAAAGCAGAGGACTATTGTGGCGACAGAAGCACATCAGACATACGATGGTAGACTCGTACTTTCATAGATGAAACATCCCTCTATGGCTGATGTGGTCAACATCACCCAGGCTGCCTTTACTTCCCAGGACTTTGCCTGGTACACATTTAGGTTAGGTCGACCTAGGAGTTTACGGTAATTTATAGGGGAAAACTATGCAGATTGTAAACTAAAACCTTTGGGATGAAGTCAGAGTAGTAACTTTAAATCTAAATGAACACACAAGCGTCAACAAATGAGACAAGAATGATTTCCTGACACTCAGTTGTGCACTCCTCAGGAGCATGGATGTGGAGCTGTGTACTCAAGCCTGGGTGAAGTTCTATGAGATTCTCAGCAACTACAACATTGTCCCCCATCAGGACTTCCTCTCGGTTCACCTGTGTGAGGCACCTGGGGCTTTTGTGACCTCGCTCAACTACTACCTGCAGCAACATGGTCAGTCAATGGTTTTTGTGTATGTGTCTTTTCTGAGTTAAAGGGGTGGGACGAGTGTGTGTTGCCTGTATGTTTTTGTGTTTAAAAATGAATGAGTGGAAAAGATACTTTTGTGTGAATGAATCAGGGTAAATGTCTGTGTCTTGCCGATTGACTTGGCTGACACACCTCCATACCATCACACAAGACTGTCAAGAATCTTCTCATACTGTATTCCTCTGTCTCTCTTTCCACAAATCTTGTCACAACATGATCTGTTTTTCCTCTTCTCATAACATGACCATAAAATGATGCATGTCTCTTTCTGATGTTTGTGTATATAAGTAATTATAATGTCCTTATAACGGGTTGAATTGTGTGAGTAGTTCACTTACAGCATGTGATGATTGTGTTGCTGCTGTACTCACAGATTCAGACCGAACAGTGATAATACTTCAGCACACCAATTAGTACATTAACAGTAATGACTTTGGCCCACAGCCTGACCCAGCCTTGAATGGGTACCAGGTGCAGCCTGACCCAGCCTTGAATGGGTACCGGGTGCAGCACAAAGGCAATGTCCAGATGGACAAACAGCCAGGACTTTCCGCTGAAACTCACATCCTGTGAACAAAGAAGAAGAAAATGCACTGTCAAACATGTCTGAGTGTATCTACCTGTATTACCGGTCAGGAATGTCAGGTTACTGTTGGACACTGTTCTCTTGGTGACTGACTGTCAGGTTACTGTTGGACACTGTTCTCTTGGTGACTGACTGTCAGGTTACTGTTGGACACTGTTCTCTTGGTGACTGACTGTCAGGTTACTGCTGGACACTATTCTCTTGGTGACTGACTATGAGGTTACTGTTGGACACTGTTCTCTTGGTGACTGACTGTCAGGTTACTGTTGGACACTGTTCTCTTGGTGACTGACTATGAGGTTACTGTTGGACACTGTTCTCTTGGTGACTGACTGTGAGGTTACTGTTGGACACTGTTCTCTTGGTGACTGACTGTCAGGTTACTGCTGGACACTTTTCTCTTGGTGACTGACTGTGAGGTTACTGTTGGACACTGTTCTCTTGGTGACTGACTGTGAGGTTACTGTTGGACACTGTTCTCTTGGTGACTGACTGTGAGGTTACTGTTGGACACTGTTCTCTTGGTGACTGACTGTGAGGTTACTGTTGGACACTGTTCTCTTGGTGACTGACTGTGAGGTTACTGTTGGACACTGTTCTCTTGGTGACTGACTATGAGGTTACTGTTGGACACTATTCTCTTGGTGACTGACTATGAGGTTACTGTTGGACACTGTTCTCTTGGTGACTGATTGTTAGGTTACTGTTGAACACTATTCTTTTGGTGACTGACTGTGAGGTTACTGTTGGACACTGTTTTCTTGGTGACTGATTGTGAGGTTACTGTTGGACACTGTTCTCTTGGTGACTGACTGTGAGGTTACTGTTGGACACTGTTCTCTGTGACTGACTGTGAGGTTACTGTTGGACACTGTTCTCTGTGACTGATTGTGAGGTTACTGTTGGACACTGTTTTCTTGGTGACTGATTGTGAGGTTACTGTTGGACAGTTCTCTTAGTGACTGACTATGAGGTTACTGTTGGACACTGTTCTCTTGGTGACTGATTGTGAGGTTACTGTTGGACACTGTTCTCTTGGTGACTGACTGTGAGGTTACTGTTGGACACTGTTCTCTTGGTGACTGATTGTGAGGTTACTGTTGGACACTGTTCTCTTGGTGACTGACTGTGAGGTTACTGTTGAACACTGTTCTCTTGGTGACTGATTGTGAGGTTACTGTTGAACACTGTTCTCTTGGTGACTGACTGTGAGGTTACTGTTGGACACTGTTCTCTTGGTGACTGACTGTCAGGTTACTGTTGAACACTGTTCTCTTGGTGACTGACTGTGAGGTTACTGTTGGACACTGTTCTCTTGGTGACTGACTGTTAGGTTACTGTTGAACACTATTCTTTTGGTGACTGACTGTGAGGTTACTGTTGGACACTGTTCTCTTGGTGACTGACTGTCAGGTTACTGTTGGACACTGTTCTCTTGGTGACTGATTGTGAGGTTACTGTTGGACACTGTTCTCTTGGTGACTGACTGTTAGGTTACTGTTGGACACTGTTCTCTTGGTGACTGACTGTTAGGTTACTGTTGAACACTGTTCTCTTGGTGACTGACTGTGAGGTTACTGTTGGACACTGTTTTCTTGGTGACTGATTGTGAGGTTACTGTTGGACACTGTTTTCTTGGTGACTGATTGTGAGGTTACTGTTGGACACTGTTTTCTTGGTGACTGATTGTGAGGTTACTGTTGGACACTGTTCTCTTGGTGACTGACTGTGAGGTTACTGTTGAACACTATTCTCTTGGTGACTGACTGTGAGGTTACTGTTGGACACTGTTCTCTTGGTGACTGACTGTGAGGTTACTGTTGGACACTGTTCTCTTGGTGACTGTCGGATTACTGTTGGAAACTATTATCTTGGTAACTCAATGAACATATTTCTTCCAGGAATCGAGATACTTTGGGACTGGAGAGCAACAACCTTAAACCCATATTATGAAGCCAATGTCATGGGTGAAATGATTGCAGATGACCGACTGATCCGCCACACATACCCTCAGTGGTTCTTTGGGCCCGATGGTTCTGGGGACATTACGTCATACAATCATGTCAGATACTTGTGTAACATGCTGAAGCAAGTTGTACTTGATGAGGAACTGTCTCCTTTACTCGTGAGTTATTTATGTGTTAATTGCTGAATATTTAATTAAGAATCAACATCATAGCATTTAGGACACCCCCATAAGCGTTCCATCCCCACCTTTAGCAGCAAGCGGAGAGTTCCAATTCCGAGGGTACCAGTAACTGTCTGATTGTGTATCCGTCTCACCTTTCCCCTGAGTGTCGAGCGTCCACCAGATTCCCTTGTAACTCCTCGCAGCGCCATTCTCCTCAGACCATAATGATTGATCTGTTCCTCGGCACTGTTCACTCGCTCCCAAAGGGCCCTTACAACATCCAGCTTGTCATACATCAGTTTGCCACCAAGTGGTGCAGAACCGGCCAGTCTAATTGCTGAAAGATATATAGTATCATTTGGTTTATTTATGTGTTAATTGCTGAAAGATGTATGAAGTATCATTTGGTTTATTTATGTGTTAATTGCTGAAAGATGTATGAAGTATCATTTGGTTTATTGATGTGTTAATTGCTGAAAGATGTGTGAAGTATCATTTGGTTTATTGATGTGGTAATTGCTGAAAGATGTGTGAAGTATCATTTGGTTTATTGATGTGGTAATTGCTGAAAGATGTGTGAAGTATCATTTGGTTTATTGATGTGGTAATTGCTGAAAGATGTGTGAAGTATCATTTGGTTTATTGATGTGGTAATTGCTGAAATATGTGTGAAGTATCATTTGGTTTATTGATGTGGTAATTGCTGAAAGATGTGTGAAGTATCATTTGGTTTATTGATGTGGTAATTGCTGAAAGATGTGTGAAGTATCATTTGGTTTATTGATGTGGTAATTGCTGAAAGATGTATGAAGTATCATTTGGTTTATTGATGTGGTAATTGCTGAAAGATGTGTGAAGTATCATTTGGTTTATTGATGTGGTAATTTCTGAAAGATTTGTGAAGTATCATTTGGTTTATTGATGTGGTAATTGCTGAAAGATGTATGAAGTATTATTTGGTTTATTGATGTGGTAATTGCTGAAAGATGTGTGAAGTATCATTTGGTTTATTGATGTGGTAATTGCTGAAAGATGTGTGAAGTATCATTTGGTTTATTGATGTGGTAATTGCTGAAAGATGTGTAAAGTATCATTTGGTTTATTGATGTGGTAATTGCTGAAAGATGTGTGAAGTATCATTTGGTTTATTGATGTGGTAATTGCTGAAAGATGTATGAAGTATCATTTGGTTTATTGATGTGGTAATTGCTGAAAGATGTGTGAAGTATCATTTGGTTTATTGATGTGGTAATTGCTGAAAGATGTATGAAGTATCATTTGGTTTATTGATGTGGTAATTGCTGAAAGATGTGTGAAGTATCATTTGGTTTATTGATGTGGTAATTGCTGAAAGATGTGTGAAGTATCATTTGGTTTATTGATGTGGTAATTGCTGAAAGATGTGTGAAGTATCATTTGGTTTATTGATGTGGTAATTGCTGAAAGATGTGTAGAGTTACATGTAGAAAGCAAGGTGTATATAGAGAGAGGGGTCAGTAGGGAGGCACAAGTCCATACCACGGTCTGAGGGAAACAGTGTTGCTAGGAGTGACCAGAAGATCTGGCCGACACTTAGCACTCAAGGGAAAGGCAAAACTGATATACAATCAGACAGTTACTGGTGCCTTTGGAATTGGACCTTGTGCTTGCTGCTGGATATGGGGACGGAGTGCATATGGGAATGTTCTGAGTGCTGTGATGTCAATTTTTAATTCAGCATTAAGCGTGTGCTGGAAGATTTGTTTGGCATAGCTAGTTCCAGTAGTGCTGCGACCTCCTCCTGTAGATCATACAAGCAGAATGCTTCACGGTGACCAGATCCTGTAGGACTGGCAAGAATATCAGCATCACACATTCTATCAATATTCTTTTGTGCTGATCTTTTCTCATTTTTCCTAAGCAGCAGCCGATTTTACTGGATCTTGTCTACCAAAACAGATCATAAACTCTGCCATTCTTAGATTATAGATTTTCTGTCATTTCCCCTATATTCAGGCAGTCTGCTAACAGGTTCAGACATTGTCTCAAGAAATTATAAATTAAGTCATTCGTCTAACACATTCTAGATTCAGACATTCTCCCAGCAATTAGATTATAGATTCAGCCTTTTAACTGATATAGATAAAGTTGTGTCCCTTTATATTTCAGAAAAAACTATTTCTCTGGATTATAGATTTAACTCTTCTTCTGGGGATTAAAGATTGAACTTTTCATGTGGGGATTATAGATTGAGCTGTCCACGCAGGTTATAAATAAGACTCTTTCCTGCTGCAGGTGACGGCAGATGGCAGCAAAGACTGCCAGATTAACCCGTCAGAACAGGAGTCCTCCCTGTCGCGACTGCACTACTGCGAGATGATTACAGCCTGCCTCATTCTGGCTCCAGGTGGCAGCTTTGTCTTCAAGGTGTTCACCATGTTTGAGCCAGCCACCAGCACCTTGATGTTCCTGCTTAATCTTATGTTTGCACAGGTGAGAGATGTGTGAGATCTGGTTTAACCAGGTGAGAGATGTGTGAGATCTGGTTTAACCAGGTGAAAGATGTGTGAGATCTGGTTTAACCAGGTGAGAGATGTGTGAGATCCGGTTTAACCAGGTGAGAGATGTGTGAGATCAGGTTTAACCAGGTGAGAGATGTGTGAGATCTGGTTTAACCAGGTGAGAGATGTGTGAGATCTGGTTTAACCAGGTGAGTGATGTGTGAGATCAGGTTTAACCAGGTGAGAGATGTGTGAGATCTGGTTTAAGCAGGTGAGATCAGGTTTAACCAGGTGAGAGATGTGTGAGATTGGGTTTAACCTGGTGAGAGGTGTGTGAAATCTGATTTAACTAGGTGTGAGATGTCTGAGATCAGGTTTAACCAGGGGAGGGATGTGTTTTGTCAAGTTTGACAAATAACATGTGTAAAATACTGTTGAGGAAATCTCTTATAGTTCAACTGACAAACAGGCGATTACCAGTCTGCTGTCTAGACAGCTTTGAGTCAGGCTGGATACTCAAGATGCCTTGGTCATCTGCTGTCTAGACAGCTTCCAGCCAGACAGGATACTCAAGATACTGAGTCCATTTTCAGTAGCCTTGACATTGTTGTTTCACTGAATCATGGACAGGAAAGTGAGGTCAAACCATTACACAGCTCTTCCTCATTGAAATCTTGTCGCTGCCCATGTGACTTTCATCTGTTTATTCTCATCACTGTCTTCAAGCCTTGTGGCGATAGGCGAGCCATGAAGCATCCGATGTGAGTTACATTCTCAGCCATAGCCGCAGTCCTGCACACAGGGGGCTCGAGCTTTGTGGTCATCTTTTACTGACAGGAGAATGGTGTGTTTCTGTAGACACAGCTGAGTATCATCAGTGTAACAGAGTTATCAGACCTGGTCTGGATTTAAACCACCAATAACCAGGTCACTCGTAATCATCATTATCCTATAGTGCCATTCTATGTCACACAGGGCTCTTTCTTTAGTCCCATGTCCAGCAGCTTTGGCTTCTCTCATCAGTGTTCATTTTTTTGTTTCCTTTAGGCGTCCTTGACCTCCTTACTTCCCATGTATTGTTTAGTAATTCTATGCTTATTTCTTCTCCCCATGTGCCCGGTATGGCGCTATCTTCTCTACCTTATAACTGTTGATACTGATGGCTGTGCAGACATCGCTCTTATTTATTTCTTCAGACATCTTGAATGCATCCCATTTTATTTTCATCTTTTTCCTTAGGTATTTGTTTTCAGTTGAATTGAACTTGTATTCCATGTCTTTAGTGATTCTCCAACTTTTAATGGTTATTTTAAAATCGAAGCAACATTAGAAATGAGAAAGTGTAACATAGTATCCCTGCAGACACATGTGCAAACACTACATGTCATCATTAGACACATGTGCAAACACTACATGTCATCATCAGACACATGTGCAAACACTAGATGTCATCATCAGACACATGTGCAAACACTAGATGTCATCATCAGACACATGTGCAAACACTAGATGTCATCATCAGACACATGTGCAAACACTAGATGTCATCATCAGACACATGTGCAAACGCTAGATGTCATCATCAGACACATGTGCAAACACTAGATGTCATCATCAGACACATGTGCAAACACTACGTGTCATCATCAGACACATGTGCAAACACTAGATGTTATCATCAGACACATGTGCAAACACTAGATGTCATCATCAGACACATGTGCAAACACTAGATGTCATCATCAGACACATGTGCAAACACTACGTGTCATCATCAGACACATCTGCAAACACTAGATGTCATCATCAGACACATGTGCAAACACTACATTTCATCAAGATACTGCAATAATCTTGCTTATTCAGGTGCATGCGACCAAGCCAGCCACCAGCAAAAGTGGCAACTCAGAAGTCTATCTTGTATGTCAAGGCTACAGGAAGAATGTCCAAGAGGACACATTGTGGAAGCTTCTAGAATTGACTGTCTGTAAGTTTTCAATATGTATGTTACATTTCTGTTTTTTGTTCTCTTGATCTATTTCTAGCTGCAAAGTTTTATTGGCCCGCCCCGCTCTCATCCTCTCTCTCTCTCTCTCTCTCTCTCTCTCTCTCTCTCTCTCTCTCTCTCTCTCTCTCTCTCTCTCTCTCTCTCTCTCTCTCTCTTTGTGTGAATTAAGTTATGTTTGAAATGAAGAAAAGAAGGGCATAAAGTATGTTAGGCAGGTCTGTGTGCCCAGTTCTGAATCCTTTGATAAAGTGTGTTCATTCATCCTCTCTGTTGTCTCTATGTCCTTGTCTTTAATTTGCTGCAGAAATTTAGTGCCCTGCCTGCAGTGAATCACTGTCTTATCTCTCCCTCTCTTCCCCCTCCACTCTCTCTCTCTCTGTTGTTTGTCTCTCTTTACCTTTTCTTGTTTGTCTCTCTTTACCTTTTCTTGTTTGTCTGTCTTTACCTTTTGCTGTTTGTCTCTCTTCACCTTTTCTTGTTTGTCTAACTTTACCTTTTCTTGTTTGTCTCCCTATACCTTTTGTTGTTTGTCTCTCTTTACCTTTCTGTTGTTTGTCTCTGTTTATGTTTTCTTCTTTGCCTCTCTTTACCTTTCTGTTGTTTGTCTCTGTTTATGTTTTCTTGTTTGTCTCTCTTTACCTTTCTGTTGTTTGTCTCTGTTTACCTTTTGTTGTTTGTCTCTCTTTACCTTTTGTTATTTGTCCCTCCTTACATTTTCTTGTTTGTCTCCCTTAACCTTTTGTTGTTTGAGTGTCTTCACCTTTTGTTTGTCTCTAGTACCTTTCTGTTGTCTGTCTCTCTTTACCATTCTGTTGCTGCAGTATTTACTGCTCTGTCTGTAACTTCTCCCTACTCTCCCATTCCCCAGCCAATACCCAGTATACAACAAACAGCACTGTAGTTACCAAAAATAGTCATATAAAAGACATTCAACAAAACTACTCAGTAGAAATTGAAAAGGAACATCATCTCGAAGGAAGGAATACCATGTGAAGATAACAATTATAAGCCAAAGCTTTTATAAGCTGGTTGAACGCAATTCAAACTTTTAGTTTTTGTTTTTTTTATCATGCAAGCAGCAGCAACAGCAGTTTTGTGTGGTAGTCTCGTTTGAAGTGACACTGTTTTTGTGTGTTGCTGATTGTTGCAGATAACAAGAACATCAGCGGGACATTGAACTTTGTCAGAGACATTCCTGTCAGCTTTCATCAAGAGCACCAACTGTGTTGCCATAAATTTGCCGCCTGGCAGATGCAGACCATTGAACAAAACCTGCATTTGTTTGAGCAGATGGGACCTGAGATCCGTCAGTGGTTGCAAGACATCCAGGTGTATGTGCTACAAGAGTACATCACTCGGACAAATATTTCATATCTCCCCAGTTACAGAAGGGTTATAGACCCAGTTCATGATGTGAGTATCAAGTTACTGGGTCAAACCTATCTGATCTCTCTAGTTAAAGAAGAGTTGACTCAGTTTCTGATGTCAATATCAGGTCAGCTTGTGACTAGATCACTGGGTCAACACTGAGTCGACACTGCAGATATAAATAATCTGTTTCAAACGAATGAAAGAAGTTTGTGATGTATCAAGTTAGCTGTTGAATCTGATATTAAAACAATAATGGAGTCTCCAGCCACATTCTAGGTGATACAGTCAGGTTGAGAGATTTCCCATCTGGATGATAAAGTCAGGTTGAGAGATTTCCCATCTGGATGATACAGTCAGGTTAAGAAATTTCCCATTTGCATGATACAATCAGGTTGAGAGATTTCCCATTTGCTTGATACACTCAGGTTGAAAGATTTCCCCTTTGCATGATACAATCAAGCTGAGAGATTTCCCCTTTGCATGATACACTCAGGTTGAGAGATTTCCTATGTAGAGGATACAGTCAAGTTGAGAGATTTCCCATCTGGATGATACACTCAGGTTGAGAGATTTCCCATCTGTATGAAACAGTCAGGTTGAGAGATTTCCCATCTGGATGATACACTCAGGTTGAGAGATTCCCTGTTCCTTGTCCTATAGTTGTTAGAACCATATCAGGGCTCTGTTTCCTTACCAAATCTGTTCTCCAGATGGCAAGAATATGTCTGTCTCCACACTTTATCAAATATTGCTGCAGAGATCTGTTAGCAGATGTGGTTGCCTAGGCTACAGATTTTAACCTCTGCATGACCATGACCTGTCTCACTGACATCTTGTGATTGATCCCCATTATTGTTAACCGTAGTGTGGTTTCTGCTGCTTCTTCCTAGCCTTCACCAGCTGTGACCTCTGGCGGAAAGTCCTGGTTGTTCGTGCATAGCTGGACTTTGGTCTTGATCCAGAACTTGAGTTTTGTGTACATCCATTTGACAGATGTGGCTTATTTATATGCAGACTGTTTCTTCCTTGTCTGAAACCCCCCTAAATAGTTGTAAGCAGACTGTTTCTTCCTTGTCTGAAACCCCCCTAAATAGTTATAAGCAGACTGTTTCTTCCTTGTCGGAAACAATCCTAATAAATAGTTATAAGCAGACTGTTTCTTCCCTGTTGGAAATCCTCCTAATAAATAGTTATAAGCAGACTGTTTCTTCCTTGTCGCAAACCCTCCTAAATAGTTATAAGCAGACTGTTTCTTCCTTGTCGCAAACCCTCCTAAATAGTTATAAGCAGACTGTTTCTTCCTTGTCGCAAACCCCCCTAAATAGTTATAAGCAGACTGTTTCTTCCTTGTCGCAAACCCTCCTAAATAGTTATAAGCAGACTGTTTCTTCCTTGCTGAACCCCCCCCCCCCCCCCCCCCCCAATAGTTACCTCCTGCAACATACTGGTTGGGGGCAGTAAGTGTATTCTTTGACCTCCAAAATGAGCCCTGGAACCTGCACAGAGATTTGATTTGAAACAAGTACATTCATATCTGCCTTCTTACCTTCACATGAATATGATTTGAAACAAGTACATTTATATCTGCCTTCTTACCTTCACATGGAAATGATTTGAAACAAGTACATTCATGTCTGCCTTCTCACCTTCACATGGAAATGATCTGAAACAAGTACATTCATATCTGCCTTCTTACCTTCACATGGATATGATTTGATACAGGTACATTCATATCTGCCTTCTTACCTTCACATGGAAGTGATTTGAAACAAGTACATTCATATCTGCCTTCTTACCTTCACATGGATATGATTTGAAACAAGTACATTCATATCTGCCTTCTTACCTTCACATGGATATGATTTGAAACAAGTACATTCATATCTGCCTTCTTACCTTCACGTGGATATGATTTGAAACAAGTACATTCATATCTGCCTTCTTACCTTCACATGGAAATGATTTGAAACAAGTACATTCATATCCGCCTTTTCACCTTCACATGGATATGATTTGATACAAGTACATTCATATCCGCCTTCTTACCTTCACATGGATATAATTTAAAACAAGTACATTCATATCCGCCTTCTTACCTTCACATGGATATAATTTAAAACAAGTACATTCATATCTGCCTTCTTACCTTCACGTGGCCCTTGTTAAAATCTTTTTTGTGTTCTGCATTCACGCAAAATGGGGTGGTTGGCACATTGTGTTGTGGTTACAGTCTGCACCATTTGTAGCCCAACATCTGATTTCAGCTAATTAGGCTGACTGTTAATTAGTCACTTTCTATTTCAGGCTTAGGCAGATCTGTTCTCTTGACCCTACCTGAAACTGGGGACCTGAGACCCACACAAGGTCTTGTTAAATGATGTTGTGTCTGTTCTTTTTACCCTACCTGAAACTGGGGACCCGAGACCCACACATGGTCTTGTTAAATGATGTTGTGTCTGTTCTCTTGACCCTACCTGAAACTGGGGACCCGAGACCCACACAAGGTCTTGTTAAATGATGTTGTGTCTGTTATCTTGACCCTACCTGAAACTGGGGACCTGGGACCCACACATGGTCTTGTTAGATGATGTTGTGTCTGTTCTCTTTACCCTACCTGAAACTGGGGACCTGAGACCCACACATGGACTTGCTAAAAAGTGTTGGATTTGTTCTATTTTCCCTCAACTGGCAACATCAGGCAGAGCTATTCTCTTTTCTTCAAACTGTGGACCCAGGACCCACACAAGGACTTGTTAAACCTTATGTGACGTAACAGATCAGCCTTGCCAGCAGCTAGTCTAATAAACCATAGCCCTGACACATCAGTGCCTTTGCATCTCATTTAATGGTATCATTGTCTGCCTGTTTCTGTTGGATTCCAGCGTTCTGCATTCATCGCCCATTTCTCAAAACCTGCCCAGTCTTCACACAGCCGAGCTGGCTGGCATCACAAGAACCTCAGCGGCACTTTCCAGCTGCGGCAGAACCTCAGTAGCATGTCCTGGCACGACCGTGTGGCATTAATGGAAGTCCGGGATAATCCTCAGCCAAATATCATCTTACAGGTGGGTAGTTGGTCAGTTTCAAGTGTAGTCGATGTTACTGTCATTGTAGATACTGTTTTGTTTTTTCCCCAGCTCAATGTCATATTTAACCCTGTTACCCTGAGAAGCCACAAAACCAAACTGAAGTTTCCCCAAGGTCTCAGTGGTAGAGGTCACAAGGTCAAGATGTGTCACCATATACATCTTTAAGCCCAGTGGAAAATATTCCATTTAATGCTTTACTTCACTCTGTTTATGTTTATTGATTATTTCTTTTGTTTATATCTTTGCATATTTTGGAGAGAAAAATTCACAATGTACGTAAATACATTTTTTGTTTTATTTATTAGTGACCTCTGTTGTTTTTTTAATGATTTATTTAAATAATTCCCGCAGGGTCATGACCCATTTTTAAGCGTTTAAGCGTTTAAAGAATAAAACAAGTGCCGGTACTCATCACAAAGTGTTTATTACAGTAGCACTAAAACACTGACACCTAAACAAAAGTGCCGGTACTGGCTACCACCAGAATAAAAAACCCGGGTGAAATAATGACCCTATAAAATACTAGTTGTTCAGAGGGCTATATGTAAAACAGTTCTGTGCCTAATGTGTGACTATTTGAAAAACAGTTTGGTTTCCAAATTTGTTTGTGATAGATAGAAAGGGGGGTGAAAACTGTTGTAATTTTTGTAACCTGTGTGATTCCTGAGGTACCCTACCAGCAAGAGAGAGATAATTATGTAATGTTGTAACAGAGAGAGAGAGAGATGGTTATCTAATGTTGTAACTCAGAGACAGACAGAGAAAGAGAGATGCTGTTGTAACCTCTCAAATACCTGCAGTCTAGGCACCCCATCCGTGAAGAGGAAGTCGAAGATTGGACAGATGTTGAGATTGGCGCCACATTTTCTGTCATCGACAACTCCAGGCTGTGTGATAATGCTCTTCTGAAGGACTTGAACCTGCTCCAGCAGAATCCTGAGGTAAGACTCCCGAAAATTGTTTAGCATGCCGGTGTTGGTTGGCCCGTCTGCTGCAGGCAGTGTTGGTTGGCCCATCTGCTGCAGGCAGTGTTGGTTGGCCCATCTGCTGCAGGCAGGGTTGGTTGGCCCATCTGCTGCAGGCAGGGTTGGTTGGCCCATCTGCTGCAGGCAGGGTTGGTTGGCCCATCTGCTGCAGGCAGGGTTGGTTGGCCCATCTGCTGCAGGCAGTGTTGGTTGGCCCATCTGCTGCAGGCAGTGTTGGTTGGCCCATCTGCTGCAGGCAGTGTTGGTTGACCCATCTGTTGCAGGCAGTGTTGGTTGGCCCATCTGTTGCTGGCAATGTTGGTTGGGCCATCTGTTGCTGGCAATGTTGGTTGGCCCATCTGCTGCAGGCAGTGTTGGTTGGCCCATCTGTTGCAGGCAGTGTTGGTTGGCCCATCTGCTGCAGGCAGTGTTGGTTGACCCATCTGCTGCAGGCAATATTGGTTGGCCGGTCTGCTGCAGGCAGTGTTGGCTGGGCCATCTGCTGCAGGCAGTGTTGGTTGGCCCGTCTGCTGCAGGCAGGGTTGGTTGGGCCATCTGCTGCAGGCAGTATTGGTTGGCCCATCTGCTGCAGGCAGGGTTGGTTGGCCCATCTGTTGCAGGCAGTCTGATGGAACTTTCCTCAGATTCGTATGTATCATGTCGGTCTACTGTTTGTTCAGACATTCACTAACTTTTCAAAAACACTAGAGCAGCCTTAGATATGTTCCCATTTTTCAACAAAATGTGTGCCTGTAATTGTATCCAGCCTAGTATTAAAGTATCATGTTGTTTAAAAAGAAGTTCAAGAGTGGCTTGCTGAATGGTTAAGTATGCTCAGCTGTCGTGTGGGGAACCCAGGACATGAATCTTCAGTAAAGTTTTGGATTTTCTCCTGTTGGAGGCCAGAATCAAGTGTGGCCCTAAATCACCAAAGAGAGAGACGGACACATACACACACATACACACACACACACACACACACATCCTGCCTACACCACAAAAGTGGTAAATACAGACAGTTTTTGACAGACAAAATGTGCAGATTATTTTCAGTGTTCTTGTTCTCATGATGGCATGATCTTCATCGTCTTCATTCTTCTGTTGTCCTCCTGCTTACACTGCAAAGCGTCACAGAGAGGAGTTACCTGTAGTTTCCTGTGTTTTGCTAGTTGTGTAGCTTTGTGTTAATACCATACTGCATTTCTGTGGTGTCTTTCCATCCCTCCGCCCATCTCTTTCTTGGTCAGCCTCTTGCCTTGTAGCCCACTGTTCTCATGTAGCCCACTGTTCTCATGTAGCACACTGTTCTCATGTAGCCCACTGTTCTCATGTAGCCCAATGTTCTCTTGTAGCCCACTGTTCTCATGTAGCCCACTGTTCTCATGTAGCCCACTGTTCTCATGTAGCCCACTGTTCTCATGTAGCCCACTGTTCTCATGTAGCCCACTGTTCTCATGTAGCCCACTGTTCTCATGTAGCCCACTGTTCTCATGTAGCCCACTGTTCTCATGTAGCCCACTGTTCTCATGTAGCCCACTGTTCTCATGTAGCCCACTGTTCTCATGTAGCCCACTGTTCTCATGTAGCCCACTGTTCTCATGTAGCCCACTGTTCTCATGTAGCCCACTGTTCTCATGTAGCCCACTGTTCTCATGTAGCCCACGGTTCTCATGTAGCCCACGGTTCTCATGTAGCCCACGGTTCTCATGTAGCCCACGGTTCTCATGTAGCCCACTGTTCTCATGTAGACCTCTGTTCTCATGTAGCCCACTGTTCTCATGTAGCCCTCTGTTCTCATGTAGCCCTCTGTTCTCATGTAGCACGCTGTAGCTGCTGACTGATTGTGTTCTGTTGTGTTTTTTTTAGGACTGTCCATGTCTGACACTGATAGCACAGAGTTGGTGAGAATAGCACATTTATCAGCTGTGTTTGTTGGCTTGAAGTGTGCATGTCTGACACTGATAGCTCAGAGTTGGTGAGAATAGCACATTTATCAGCTGTGTTTGTTGGCGTGATGTGTCCATGTCTGACACTGATAGCACAGAGTTGGTGAGAATAGCACATTTATCAGCTGTGTTTGTTGGCTTGAAGTGTCCATGTCTGACACTGATAGCTCAGAGTTGGTAAGAATAGCACATTTATCAGCTGTGTTTGTTGGCTTGAAGTGTCCATGTCTGACAATGATAGCTCAGAGTTGGTAAGAATAGCACATTTATCAGCTGTGTTTGTTGGCTTGAAGTGTCCATATCTGACACTGATAGCACAGAGTTGGTGATAATAGCACATTTATCAGCTGTGTTTGTTGGCGTGATGCATGCATTAACTTATTATCAAAGCTTGTGTGTTGTTTACCCAGGTCAAGAGTTACATGCAGTCGATGTTGATGGATCATGCGGTTCAGCTGGGGCAGATACTTGCCCAGCTTATGTCTGAGGTTCGCACCAAGCCGTCTACCAGCAAGCCGACTGTTTATTGGGTGGGAGCCTCTAGGGGCAAGGATTCAGCACTTTACAAGTCTTTCATTGACAACACGGACGGTCCCGTACATGTTCAACACGTTTTTGCAGATGAAGATTTCGGGACGATGACTGCTTCACCTAACCTACCAGTTCAGGTCTTTTGTGACGTGACTTCATTCTGTGACGACAGTGACCAGTCTGGCCACTCTTCCTGTGAAGAACTAATCACCAGGAAGAAATGTCTGGACACAGTGTTGCTGCTGCTCACGGTTAGTTGATTATTGTCACTCATGTCTGTTTGGTAAACATCCCTACCTGCTACCATAGCTCATGTCTGTTTGTTAAACATCCCTGCATGCCAATATAGCTCATGTCTGTTAGTTAAATGTCCCTGCCTACCAGTATAGCTCCTGTCTGTATGATAGAGTGTGAACATCCCTGCCTACTAGCATAGCTCCTGTCTGTATGATAGAGTGTAAACATCCCTGCCTACCAGCATAGCTCCTGTCTGTATGATAGAGTGTAAACATCCTTGTCTGCCAGCATAGCTCCTGTCTGTATGATAGAGTGTAAACATCCCTGTCTACCAGCATAGCTCCTGTCTGTATGATAGAGTGTAAACATCCCTGCCTACCAGCATAACTCCTGTCTGTATGATAGAGTGTGAACATCCCTGTCTACCAGCATAACTCGTCTGTATGATAGAGTGTAAACATCTCTGTCTACCAGTATAACTCCTGTCTGTATGATAGAGTGTAAACATCTCTGTCTACCAGTATAGCTCCTGTCTGTATGATAGAGTGTAAACATCTCTGTCTACCAGTATAGCTCCTGTCTGTATGATAGAGTGTAAACATTTCTGTCTACCAGTATAGCTCCTGTCTGTATGATAGAGTGTAAACATCTCTGTCTACCAGTATAGCTCCTGTCTGTATGATAGAGTGTAAACATCCCTGCCTGCCAGTATAGCTCCTGTCTGTATGATAGAGTGTAAACATCTCTGTCTACCAGTATAGCTCCTGTCTGTATGATAGAGTGTAAACATCTCTGTCTACCAGTATAGCTCCTGTCTGTATGATAGAGTGTAAACATCTCTGTCTACCAGTATAGCTCCTGTCTGTATGATAGAGTGTAAACATCTCTGTCTACCAGTATAGCTCCTGTCTGTATGATAGAGTGTAAACATCTCTGTCTACCAGTATAGCTCCTGTCTGTATGATAGAGTGTAAACATCTCTGTCTACCAGTATAGCTCCTGTCTGTATGATAGAGTGTAAACATCTCTGTCTACCAGTATAGCTCCTGTCTGTATGATAGAGTGTAAACATCTATGTCTACCAGTATAGCTCCTGTCTGTATGATAGAGTGTAAACATCCCTGTCTACCAGCATAGCTCCTGTCTGTATGATAGAGTGTAAACATCACTGCCTACCAGCATAGCTCCTGTCTGTATGATAGAGTGTAAACATCCCTGTCTACCAGTATAACTCCTGTCTGTATGATAGAGTGTAAACATCCCTGTCTACCAGTATAACTCCTGTCTGTATGATAGAGTGTAAACATCCCTGTCTACCAGCATAGCTCCTGTCTGTATGATAGAGTGTAAACATCCCTGCCTGCCAGCATAACTCATGTCTGTATGATAGAGTGCAAACATCCCTGCCTGCTCCCATTGATGCTGTGAACACTCTGAATGTTCTCATGGATCCTCTGTTTCTTCACCTTCTCCCTCGCACAGATGATCACATAATAATGAGTACATCACATTCTTCATCATCTGTTGCAGCACATGCCACGCTGTGACCGACTCATTCTCCTCACTACAACCTGTTTGTCCCGCCTCAATGCTGGATTGTTATACATCCTGGCAAGATCATTTCGTACAGTAAGTTTGTGTGTTTACACATATACTACTTGTATAGTTTATGTCATGTATAGCACATATCATATAATCTATGTCATGTAAAGCACAGATCATATAGTCTTATGTCATGTATAGCACAGATCGTATAGTCTGTGTCATGTATACATTCTTGTGTGTACACATGTACTACTTGTATAGTTTATGTCATGTATACAATCTTGTGTCTACACATGTACTACTTGTATAGTCTATGTCATATATACAATCTTGTGTGTACACATGTACTACTTGTATAGTTTATGTCATATATACAATCTTGTGTCTACACATGTACTACTTGTATAGTTTATGTCATGTATACATTCTTGTGTCTACACATGTACTACTTGTATAGTTTATGTCATATATACAATCTTGTGTCTACACGTGTACTACTTGTATAGTTTATGTCATGTATACATTCTTGTGACTACACATGTACTACTTGTATAGTTTATGTCATGTATACATTCTTGTGTCTACACGTGTACTACGTGTATAGTTTATGTCAAGTATACATTCTTGTGTCTACACGTATACTATGTGTATAGTTTATGTCCTGTATAGCACACTTCATATAGATGTGTGTACCACAGATAAAAAGTCTGTCTCATGTATCGACTATGTATTCTATGTCCATGTATACATACCGCAAATCATGTAGGTCTTTGTCATTATAGCACAGATCATGTAGTCTGTATCATTATAGCACACATATAGTTTGTGTCATGTATAATAGTACATATATATTTTCATTGTTGTGTAGTACACACATGTATTAAACATCCTGCATAACACATATCCTATATTTAATTGTGAGTGGCACACATCATGTAGTCTGTGTCATGTATAGAGCACATCATATACTTTATGTCATGTATAGAGCAGATCATATACTTTATGTCATGTATAGAGCAGATCATATACTTTATGTCATGTGTAGAGCAGATCATATACTTTATGTCATGTATAGCACACATCACGTAGTTTGTGTTCTGTACAGTATACATCATGTATGTATGTCATATGTTATTTGTAACTCAAAAGTGATGAGTACCACTCTTTCTTTCATCCATCATGAAACTCTAGTTGAGTCTGGAGTGTCCAGAGGTAACTTCAGTCTAGTCTGGGTCCTGAAGGCTCCAGGACAGTGGGGGCAGGAAACAGTGTCTGTAGGGAAAGGTCTCTATAGCCTGCCTGCTCTGTTCAGCTGCCCTTTTTTTTTGGAAGATTCTCTGCTGCTGCCCTCTTCAGAGAGACGTTCATCTTGTAGTCCATTCTTGTACAGCAGCGTCACAAGTGTCAGGGTCTGTGTTAAGTGATGCCTTTAGCATGTCCTTGAAGCGTTGTTTTTTGTTTCTGGCCACTATGAGAGAGTCTACCTTCCTGTCCCTCATGGTACAAGAATATTTTTTGGGAACCTTAGGTCTGACAAGCGGATGACATGACCTGCCCATCAAATTTGTGACTGTATCAGGATGGTATCCGTGCTGAGAATGCCAGCTCTATCCAGAATGTCTGTATCCGGGACGCTTATTTTAATTAATTTTCTTAGACAGACTGTATGGAAGTAGTTGAGCCTCTTTGCATGATGTCTGCATACAGTCAGTGTCTGACAAGCATACAACAGCACTGGAAGCATTGCAGCTCTGTATACCTCCACTTTGGTTTGCAGACTGATGCCAGCCATTGGTCTATAGCAGGCTTTTCAACTGGCGGCCCGTGGGCCAAATTTGGCCCGCCAAGGCCTAGCAAGTGGCCTGCTGACCACTGCTAGTTGTATTGTATTTATGATCTTTCTATGCTGAAGCTGGGGCCTCTGGAAACCAGGGCACTAAGAACATGGTCAGCTGGGCACCCCCAATAAAGATGTCTTCATTGGCCATGTCCATCATACAGCTTACAATCCACAACTATTGAATGCTTACTGGATTCAACTCAAACCATTGAAATGGCACCATAGGTTACATAAATTTATATTAACCAAGCATAGATCGAATAACAAGCACAGTAACAATTTACAAACACAGCAGACTGTTATGCTTTGTCTAGAATACACAAAAACTGAACATTGATTTTTTTTTTTAAGTACACGTTTAGCATGTCATGTATACCGTAGACTATGATTGTGACATGTCAAACATGATTGACTTTGTGACATGTCAAACATGATTGACTTTGTGACATGTCAAACATGATTCACTTTGTGACATGTCAAACATGATTGACTTTGTGACATGTCAAACATGATTGACTTTGTGACATGTCAAACATGATTGACTTTGTGACATGTCAAACATTATTGACTTTGTGACATGTCAAACATCTGTGGTGATATTTCAGACCTGCTGGCAGGGAGAAGCAGGCATGTGCTTACACCAGTTGGTTGTGCTGGACGACTACATGCCGGTCAGTCCGGCCCTGCTGGAGCATCTCTCCCACACCAGGCAGCTACTGGCTGACCAGCGGAACCCAGGTCAGGCTACAGCCATGGAAGTGGTCAAGTTCTGCTCTGTTTTGAGCGGTAAGATCTGCACTAAAGTTTTGCTGTCATTATTGTCATACATCTTGTGTGTCATCTCCACAGTGAAGGTTCACTACAGTCTACCACTGTTGTCTTTGGGAATATAACCTGGTGAGGTCCAAATCTCTTCCACAGTGAGACTCTCCTGCAGTTGTCTGAAAACCATGACAAACTTTTTTATTTTGTTTTAATCATCCTCCACTGCAAGCAAACTGAATTACTGAAGAATCAGGAAGTTGTTACCACGTTCACTAACCTCTAAGCTGTGGACCGAGATTTTTGTCAAGTGCTGTTCTTGTTCTTCTTCTTAGCGTGTTCATTGGCTGTGAATTCTATAGTAAAGTTCTGGTTGTTCTCTCATTTCTAGACTTTGGACTTGCTTCAGAACTTGAGTTTTGCATGCACCTCCATTTGACAGGCCTGGATGATTTGTTAAGTTGGCTCCTCGCCTCTCAGGCAGGGGCACTCCAACATGGATGGAAACCCCTCTAATTAGTCGATTTTGTGACATGTTTGTTCGGTAGGCATTGGATCTATTCTTGTTTCCCCCAAACTGATGCCGCAGAACTCACACAGGGAAAGTGTCTGTTGTATTACCATTTACCTGTAACCATATCTGACGTCAGCGCCGCTGCTGCTAGATATGACAGACTGAATCTAGATAACAGGTGTACTGTCATGGGTTTTTCTGGAAATTTTATCATTCATAAGTTTTCATCCATAGATTCTCAGTCATTATTTTTTTTTTTTTTTTTGGTTAAATTAAAATTGTTCCTCTTCCATGATTACTGTCTGTAGGATCAGCACTCATGGACGAGAATCAAACAGAAGCAAATCCCAGCAACCCTGCTCAGCTATAACACAGTTAAATTTGGGCACCAGTACGGTTAACATGTAACCTGTAGTCCAGTGTGGGGATCCACAGATTCTCATCCACACTTGTCATCCACAGATTCTCATCCCATGCTTATCATCCACAGATTCTCATCCCATGCTTATCATCCACAGATTCTCATCCACACTTATCATCCACAGATTCTCATCCCATGCTTATCATCCACAGATTCTCACCCACGCTTATTATCCACAGATTCTCACCCACACTTATTATCCACAGATTCTCACCCACACTTACCATCCACAGATACTCACCCACACTTACCATCCACAGATTCTCACACATGCTTATCATCATCAGATTCTCACCCACGCTTATCATCCACAGATTCTCACCCAAGTTCATTATCCACAGATTCTCACCCATGCTTATCCACAGATTCTCACCCAAGCTTATCATCCACAGATTCTCACCCACGCTTATCATCCACAGATTCTCACCCAAGCTTATCATCCACAGATTCTCACCCAAGCTCATTATCCACAGATTCTCACCCATGCTTATCATCCACAGATTCTCACCCAAGCTTATCATCCACACATTCTCACCCAAGCTTATCATCCACAGATTCTCTTCCACGCTTATCATCCACAGATTCTCACCCAAGCTTATCATCCACAGATTCTCACCCAAGTTCATTATCCACAGATTCTCACCCATGCTTATCATCCACAGATTCTCACCCAAGCTTATCATCCGCAGATTCTCACCCAAGCTAATCCTCCACAGATTCTCACCCACGCTTATCATCCACAGATTCTCACCCAAGTTCATTATCCACAGATTCTCACCCATGCTTATCATCCACAGATTCTCACCCAAGCTTATCATCCGCAGATTCTCACCCGCGCTTATCATCCACAGATTCTCACCCAAGCTAATCCTCCACAGATTCTCACCCACGCTACTTATCCATTAGTTCCTATTTATAGCTTCCCTACACAGATTCTTATCCATATATCCATATCTACAGACTCTCTTGTTTTCCCTCTACAGACCGCAAGTTTGTACAGTTTGTGACTGCTTGCAATAACTATCTTGTCACTGGCTTCATCAACCAGACATTGCAGCATTACAGACAAGGGAAGACAGACACAGACACTGTCGCTCTGATATCGTTGTGAGCATCCCAGCCACAGACACTGTTGCTCTGATATCATCGTGAGCACCCCAGCCACAGACACTGTTGCTCTGATATCATCGTGAGCATCTGAGATGTAGACATATCACCTAGCCAAGTAAACCCAGACTACAGCAGCTGAGGAAATCCTAGCATACCAGAACTACTCAGTTCTTATATCCTGGTTTTAGCTTGTGTACAACTTTTATCTTTTAGTTCTGGCGTTTTTAAGAGAGAATTGTACAGGGCATCACTGATATTTATAACCCCAAATATGTACTGATGAAATTTCATTGAGTCATTATTTTGGCTGAAGGCTTTACCGAGCTCTGTCATCTCAGTTGATATTTTTTTAATGGAATTATTTATTCCTGTTGCTATAAGGGCTGATGCTATTACTCCATTCTCTTAGCTTCTAGTTTTAATGTTATCATTTAGTGCTGTCCTTGTCTCAGTATAGTGATTGTGTCTTATTGTCTGAGCTGATATCTTTAGTGCTGTCATTGTCTCAGTATAGTGATTGTGTCTTATTGTCTGAGCTGATATCTTCAGTGCTATTATTTAATCCTGTCAGTACCTCAGCTGATTTTGTAAATGTTTTCTGAGTCCTGTCATTTTTTTAACTGAAATAATCAGTATGAGGATTTTATCCTGTCAGTGCAGCTGATACCTTGACTGTTTGTTATTTAGTCCAGTCATTATCTCAGCTGAAATCTTCCATCTTACAACTTGATCCTGTCATTATCTCAACTGAAGTCTTGAGTCTTACAACTTGATCCTGTCATTATATCTCAGCTGAAGTCTTGAGTCTTACAACTTGATCCTGTCATTATATCTCAGCTGAAGTCTTGAGTCTTACAACTTGATCCTGTCATTATATCTCAGCTGAAGTCTTGAGTCTTACAACTTGATCCTGTCATTATATCTCAGCTGAAGTCTTGAGTCTTACAACTTGATCCTGTCATTATCTCAGCTGAAGTCTTGAGTCTTACAACTTGATCCTGTCATTATCTCAGCTGAAGTCTTGAGTCTTACAACTTGATCCTGTCATTATATCTCAGCTGAAGTCTTGAGTCTTACAACTTGATCCTGTCATTATCTCAGCTGAAGTCTTGAGTCTTACAACTTGATCCTGTCATTATATCTCAGCTGAAGTCTTGAGTCTTACAACTTGATCCTGTCATTATATCTCAGCTGAAGTCTTGAGTCTTACAACTTGATCCTGTCATTATCTCAGCTGAAGTCTTGAGTCTTAAAACTTGATCCTGTCATTATCTCAGCTGAAGTCTTGAGTCTTACAACTTGATCCTGTCATTATATCTCAGCTGAAGTCTTGAGTCTTACAACTTGATCCTGTCATTATATCTCAGCTGAAGTCTTGAGTCTTACAACTTGATCCTGTCATTATCTCAGCTGAAGTCTTGAGTCTTACAACTTGATCCTGTCATTATCTCAGCTGAAGTCTTGAGTCTTACAACTTGATCCTGTCATTATATCAACTGAAGTCTTGAGTCTTACAACTTGATCCTGTCATTATATCAACTGAAGTCTTGAGTCTTACAACTTGATCCTGTCATTATATCTCAGCTGAAGTCTTGAGTCTTACAACTTGATCCTGTCATTATCTCAGCTGAAGTCTTGAGTCTTACAACTTGATCCTGTCATTATATCTCAGCTGAAGTCTTGAGTCTTACAACTTGATCCTGTCATTATATCTCAGCTGAAGTCTTGAGTCTTACAACTTGATCCTGTCATTATCTCAGCTGAAGTCTTGAGTCTTACAACTTGATCCTGTCATTATCTCAGCTGAAGTCTTGAGTCTTACAACTTGATCCTGTCATTATATCAACTGAAGTCTTGAGTCTTACAACTTGATCCTGTCATTATATCAACTGAAGTCTTGAGTCTTACAACTTGATCCTGTCATTATATCTCAGCTGAAGTCTTGAGTCTTACAACTTGATCCTGTCATTATCTCAGCTGAAGTCTTGAGTCTTACAACTTGATCCTGTCATTATATCTCAGCTGAAGTCTTGAGTCTTACAACTTGATCCTGTCATTATATCTCAGCTGAAGTCTTGAGTCTTACAACTTGATCCTGTCATTATATCTCAGCTGAAGTCTTGAGTCTTACAACTTGATCCTGTCATTATCTCAACTGAAGTCTTGAGTCTTACAACTTGATCCTGTCATTATCTCAGCTGAAGTCTTGAGTCTTACAACTTGATACTATCTCAGCTGAAATCCTCATTGATATGATTTTTATTATTTCAGTTTGCAAGCCTGACATTTTTAACATTAAAGAACATGTAAAGCCACTTGATTGAGCCACAATTGTTGGTGTTGTTGCTTTTTTTTTTTTTTTAATTATTGGTTTTATGTGTGTGTGCGCGCTTGTTTTAAACAAATACAATTGGTTGATGAGGCAGTGTGATACCCAGAAAGTAAATCCATGTTGTTAGGTTGAGACCTGGAAAAGGAATCCATGTTGTGAAGTTGCGACCTTGATTGGGAAATCCATGCTGTTAGATTGAGACTTGGCTAATAAATCCATGTTGAGACCTGGAAAGTGAATCCATGTTGTGAAGTTGAGATCTGGATAGTTAATCCATGTTGGGAGACTGAGACCTGGTTAGGTAATCCATGCTGTGAGGTTGAGAACTGGAAAGGGAATCCATGCTGTGATGCTGAAAACTGTTTACGGAATCCAGGTTGTGAGGTTGAGAACTGGGTAAGGAATCCATGCTGAGAACTGTATACGGAATCCAGGCTGTGAGGTTGAGAACTGGAAAGGGAATCCATACTGTGAGGTTGAGAATTGGAAAGGGAATCCATGCTGTGAGGTTGAGACCTGCATAATCAATTCATGTTATGAGGAAGGACCTGGATTGTGAATCTATGTTATGTGGTTGAGACCTGGACAGTTGATCCATGTTGTGACGATGCTACCGAAGCTCTTAAAAGTAAAGTAGACGAATCAGAGGAGAAGAAGACAAAGAAGTACTACAAACTCTGAATTAGACAAAACTCAAATTAGACACGGCCAGATACCCAGCTGACCATGTCAAGAAAAATCCTTGCCAGTTGTGGTCGAGGCTCCAGCATAACCTCCACTGGTTCTTCTTACATTGTTCACCTCAAACACACTGTGACTGGCTGTTCATTCATGCTTTCTGACCTTTCACACGTGCTAGTCTATATTACACAGGAGTCACGTTTGGTTGCCTTCGATGATATCACCGGCGACATTCCGTATTCTATAATACAGGATGTGACTGCTTCTAACGACCCCACAACATGTAGAACTGGCCTTAGCCCCAACCGCTCTACCCCTCAGCCTACATCCCAAGAGAAAGTGCAACCTATGCCAAGTGGTTTCACAGTTGTTAACTTTTTTACAGAAGTCCACTGTCCGTGGAGTCACCTTTATTTTTGTTCCGGGACACGCAGGTGTCGATGGAAATGAAAGAGCTGACAGGTTGGCTGGATCCGCTATCACTACCGACGGTCAGCCTATGGATCATGCTGATATTATCAATGCCCTCAGAGAAATGGGAAGGATAGAGGACTTTGGTGGCAGTGAATCCACATCACTCGCCAGAATGGCAGACTTGGGAATTAAGATCGGCACAGCAAAAAACGAGACGCACACCAGCTACGCCAGAAGACTTGTTAATCAACATAGAACTGGTACTATTAGCCATCGGACGTTGGGGTTCATACTGAGGGGAGGATCTGAGCACCTATGGACATGTCCGGAGTGCAATGAGGATAACCCAACTAACTAACTAACTAACTAACTAACTAACTAACTAACTAACTTTTTTCGATCTTGTTGCAGAAAAACATCACTGCTTTTCTTGTAAGTTCATGTCCTACTCGAAGTCTGACAAAACTATAATATACTCAATCTTGCCGTCCGCTCACAACAACCAGTACATGACACACAATATACGCTGCTCACAGCATGGAATACAATACATACCTGACACCCCTGTGACATAGACTAGTGCATGTGAAAGGTCCTCAAGCATGAATCAACGGCTAATCACAGTGTTTCTGGGTGAAAAACTTATGAAGTTCCAGTCCATTCTTGTGCCAGTGGAAATCACACAAAATCCACTTCTAACTAAAAATTAGTTTTTTTTAAAAAAGACTTGGCAAGGCTTTGTTTATCGGGTCTGCTTCCTGATTGGCTGTGTCGATCCTCACTCCCAGTTCTCTTATTCGTAGCGGTGACTTGGACACGCTGCTCCCAAAATGCTCCTATAGTCCTGTCTAAGGGCTCGATCCATAGGCTAGCCATCTGTAACTTAGTCGAAAACCAGCCAGTCTATCAACCCTTTTATTGCCAACAACATCCGCATCCTCTTGGACAAAGATGAAGGTGGAAGCATGAACAGGAGAGTTTTGCATTAACTCAGTCCACTATCTGCAGACGGCGCCTGCCTCGACCTGCCGTATCAGTCTCAAAGAATCACTCAGCGTGGAAATAGCCTTATGTTTCCAGCCACATGAAAGCTTGTGAGACCTCCAGCACCATGTTTATGCTGCTGGTTGTCATGGAGAAGGCACCTCTGGCTTCTTGGACTGTTCTACCTGCAGAGTTTGGAGGTCTCCGTGGTGAAGTGGTCAAGCCGTTTGCCTCGCGCTCTGAAGGGCGCTGTTCAGTTCACGTGTGCCATTTGTATGGAGATCCCTGGGGATCGTCGCCAGAGCTACATTGTTCGTAATTTGTTAGATGCTCTCGGCAGGCAGCTAGTCGCTCTGCGGAGAGGGACTGAGCCATGTGAGATAAACTTGGTGCAACTTTTGCCTTTAACCTGTAGAGCAAGCTGTAAATGGCCATGCATTTTTCCGTCTATACCAATGGACACGTCTGTAGATCCGCACATCTGCCTCGTCTGGCACTGATCGCAGTGTCTACAGCAACAGTATTCTGCTTCTGACAACTCCTAGCAAGAATATCAACAGCAACAGGATTCTGCTCCTGACAACTTCTAG